GCAAAGAAGAAAAGAAACACTTACATAAAGTGAAACAAGTCGTTAAATAAATAAATGAAACGGGAAGAAAGAGAGGGAGGAACGAACGAACGAACGAACAAAGGGAGCTAGGAAGAGAGAGGACTCAAGGTAGAAAAGAAGAATGGAAGGAAACAAGAAAGGACAGAAGGGAAGGGATGGATGAAGAAAGCAAGGAAGAAAAAAAAACCCACTTACATCAAGTGAAACAAGTCGTTCTGGTCCTTTCGTCATATTCAGATTCATCAGCTCTTCAAACGAATTCGGTGAGACCCACGACTCCACCGTCAACGATTTCCTCTCTCCCTTCTTTGTGACGTACTCCACATCAAACAAAACCAACAGCCCACTAAACTGATCATGCTGATTAAAATACGCAACCTCTTTTATCGGCCCTTTGCGTAATAACTCGCAGTTGTCTTCGTGGTCACGTGATAATTGTTTGGTTGCTATGCGACCGAACGAGTAAAAGAATGTCAGAAAGGCGTCAGATGTTTTGGTGATGTTGTCGTCATGGTGATACATGTTTTCCCAATAATAATGAAGTCCTTTGGTGTTTGGTGGAAATTCCCCGTACAGCCACGCATCTAGTTCGTTGATGACTTCTTGGTTCACAATTGCTTCAAACTTACGGGCAAAATAATTGTGCGATTGACTCTGTCGTGTAAATAAAATAAAATTGAATGAGTTTCTGACAATACCTAAAAATTCGAAATTAATCTGCGCTACTGGCACTAATTATTTATAAAAAATCCTAAGTACTAATAGTGCTCTGCATTGTCAATGCTGTCTTCTGTCACCATTTTTCAGGTGTTCTTCTGCACATGCGCAGTATTCCCCCGGTCATTCTGTCGTGCCTACGTGCAGACATATCCTATCCCCTACCCTCTTACGGAGAAAAGTGTGAGGGGAGGGCAATGGGATAAAAATGTCTACACGCTGGCTGAAAATTTATCAATCCCAAAAAAGGGGCCAAACGCTGTACACAGATGCATTTGAGCAAATTTCATTTAACTTTGAAAATCATGGCAAACTCACGGTACAGAACAGACCTTATCAAAGAACCGATTAAAATGCCCGAGATAAGGTTACTACTAAAAGCATTTTTCTAGTCATATGAAATYCTTTTTAGAATTTACCTTTATTCTGGTCATGTCTTCGGGTTTGAAATTATTTGGTGAGCAGCCACACCAGTCCACAATGTGTTTGTACTGACATCGACAGCCAAGCTTTCGCTTCCAATTTGTGAGACGAAGATTGGTTGAAATCCAGTTCTCACACAGCGGGCCATTGCGAAGGACAGTATGAAAAAACGACTAAATAGAAAAGGAAAAGAAAGATTTAGAATGGGTTGTGATATTCTGAGTGACGTGATCACAGCTGAAGAAATGATATGCAAAGGACAGCATAAAGGTTTAGTTCCAGGCCTTCAATGACTGAAGAGTCCTGGAACAACAGAGAAGTTCTGGGACTATTCTTACCTCAGCTGGTAACAGAGTATATTTATACATGTGCTTTAGTCCCGTTACTAGGGAATCGGTTGACGTCACGAGATAATGGCAGTATTTGCGGTTCAAGGCAATCCAATCACTTCCGCCATCAATATCTATGCCTGGAGGAAGGCTACGATTTCCGAGCCTCCACATGTGATCATCACATTGTAGGAATGTTCTGTCTAATCCTTGCTTTTTGATAAACCTGTTAAGGGTTCACGATAAAAGCTTAGCATTGAGTTTGCACCATCATGTGATGGCAGCCATGACAGGAGGCACGGCAAATAGAGTCTTTCTCCTCAGGTAAACTGAATAGTCCCCTTCACAGTTCCCTGCGCCATCTTGAAATGTAGCCGTGCCTTTGCATCGAAGCGAGACGAACGGTGAGCTTGCAATGATAGAGACATGTGAATAATTGTCCAAGGTGTTAAAAAAAGGTCTCTATCATTGCAAGCTCACCGTTCGTCTCGCTTCAATGCAAAGGCACAGCTACATTTCAAGATGGCACAGGGAACTGTGAAGGGGACTATTCTTTCTCATGTAAGTTAGATTAGACCAGATTCAATTTTTCCAGCCTCCTGTCATGGCTGTCATCACGTGATGGTGCAAAGGCTCTATTATTAACGAAGTTATCTCAACACTTGAAATTATGGGTTATCTAGGACAGATTCTATTATAGACTATATTATTAGTCCAATGCATATCAATAGCACCATGCATAGTATAAATATTTATACTCATTTTAGTTGCCATGGTAACAAACATGTGATGGCAGTTGCTATGGCAATATATACAAACAACTCACCTGTTTAGATCTCTGCCATGCGGCTTTAAGAAGTTTTGATCTCTATGCGATCTCAGGAAACGAGTAATTGCAGTATTATCTCTGGGAAACAGAAAATAAAAATAATAGTTCTCTAACTTTCAAATAACCTAGATGAACAGAAACGAGGCTATTAAATCTCATTCCTTTTATCAAAATATGCTCAAATTTGCCAGACTTTCCTCATTGGCCAATGTCAAATTCCCCCGAGTATGTACACTGCCCCCCCAACCATGGCCTTTAACATGCATTGATAGTGGCATCATATTCAAGGGAATGACAATAACATAGTTCAAGTTATTATATAGATATTGATGAAATACCAGGTTTTCTCTAGTGTTTAAAGCTTGATATCTTCCACCAGGGGAAAATACCATATCTTTCACACGTGAAGATATCGCTGTTGAATCGGCTTGCTATTTTAATAAAGAATTTTTGAGCTTTTGTTTTATTTAAGTTTCATTGATATCTATATAATAAACAGAACATTACATGGCCCCTTGGAGATACAAATTTTATCTTCTCATGTTCAATTTAGATATCTCACTTGTTTGCTGAGCTCACTCATGAGATATCAATTGAACACTTGAAGATAAAATTCATATCTCTGCCCATGTAATATCCTCTATATAGAAACTATTACACCATAGAAAACTTGGTCCATAAAGTCCGAAATACTCACTTGATAGGATAATCAGATCCACTAATATTAATAAAGAAGTCCCACTTCCAATTTTTCTTTTTTATAAGATCTTCCATACATCTTAACAACATCTGTAACAATGTCGCACCTCCCCATATTGTTGACATACTCCAAGGAGCAAGTGCAGTGTTTGGGAAGTCTTTTATGAGGTTGGCAACTTCACGACGAAGATAATCTGACCTCTAAAATCAACATATTATACTTTCATTAGTAGTCTTATTATAAATTATATATATATGGTGTAGCAGCAGTGCATATACACTCCACTTATGAAGCCGCAGGTTTGATGCCTAGACTTGGAGTAGCATGTGAGTAGAGTTAGTTGGGTCTCTCTCTTGCATGATTCCAGAACCTTTCTTCAGGTTCTCTGGTTTAACTCATTCTCTTTGTAAAACTTAACATATGCTAAATTCCAATTTCATCTTTCGGTCAGCCATATATGAAAATATATTTTTTTATACACTCTTTATATGAAGTCATCAATATACACAGCTAATTCAAAAAAAGTTGGTGAAGGTTTTGTTGCATGTTGCAAACCAAACCCAAATTGCACTTTGGTGAATGCCATAATTGAAAGGTTACAATGATATGTAATCTTCCTAAACTTTGTCTGCAATTTTTTCCAGTATATTTTTTTCTGTGCTCACATTCTTAACATACAAATATAAAACAATTCAAACTTAGTAACTTAGTAAACAATGAGAAAGATGCAATACCAACCTTTCACCAACCTTTTTTGAAATACAGGTAGCTGTATAAATTCTTTGCAACAAGTTTGCAAATTCTTAATACATGCGTTAGGGTCAAAGGGAATAAAAATTAAGATTAAGGTTTATTCACTTACCGTATCAATATGAAAATAATAATAATGTTGTCTATGATAAATTGCTTTAAAGAGTCTTTTAACTTGTCTGAACGCTCTTCCATGTAGAGTCAAAATATATGCAATCCTGATAGGAGGTCCATATGGCACAGGCTTCGCATCATTGATAGATTTAGCAGGAGATTTACTACTTTGTGGTAAAGGACAATACCTTTTGATTCCTCTCATATATAACTTATTTGATTCTGATAAGCAAGATATTTTATAAATTTCTCTCCTACATGTCTCTGATTTGACTCTTCGTAGAGCAGAATTTGCATCCTTATGTTTTGGCTTGCAAGGCGGTTTGTATGGCATCTCAAGCACTGGAGGCTCATGTCTGTTTGGAGTATTTTTGTTGTGTGATATATCTCTAGCTGTCTTGGATTTGAAAGCTGCCTCCTTAAAGTAAAAATAAGAAAACATAAGCAAAGTACAGTCGTCTATAATCAGCATCAGCTATATCATTTCTTCAATAATAAATATTTGTTTTCATAGTAAATGAGGAGTGTATGTAAATGAATAAATAAATAATGGGATTAACAGTGGGTTCCACAGAATGGCTCTTTTTTTCACTGGATGCCAGGGTAGTTGGTGTGAGATGCTATGAGTACACTGTCTTTCACCAAAGTTTGTTTTAGTTGTTTGATAGTTCTGTGCTGTACTGTTTGCCCAGTCATTACTTCATAACATAAGCTTATAAATTTAGAATAAACAAATGTCATTTATTTCATGGTAAAAATATTGTAAATTTATCAAACACATGCCAATATTTTTCATTACTTTACTTTTCTAAATCAGTTATATTAGATATTAATTTATTTCTTCATAAATTCAAGCATTTATTAATTTCTTTTGTCTTTTTTTTAAACGGAAAATTTGATCCTACATCCATGACACATTCAGCTTACATTAATTTGCTGGTATATGATGAATCGAAAGGCAACTTACTTCAAAGGCAAAACTTTTTGAAAAATACCAAAATAACGCAAGAAAAAGAAAACCAAATTAGTTAAGATTAAGAGAAGAAAACGTTTACTAAGATAATTAAGCCTCGTTATGTATATAATTGACTCCATAATAGACGGCAATGAAAAAAATGGGGRAAAAATGTTTTGTATGTAACGGGGGATCATTTCATTTTAAGGTTTCAGTTCCAGTAATTATAGCTTTGCCTTTCAACATTTATTTTTCAATTAAATGAGCTTTCAAACCGTGTTTGGTTTCTGATTTCATTAGCATTTTTTCTAGCAGTCAGGCAGAGAAATCAAAGGACAAAGTTTCTTTTTTGAGGCTCAATGTCAAGGGTTTACCCGCTTGAAGCTTGTAAATAATTTAGTTATAATATTTTCAACGTAGCAAAGCAATAAACGACTTGATTTTTACTTAACAAATTTTTCAAGAAAGTGTTTCTAGGAAACCGGGTATCCATAATTATAGAATGTTGTTTAAACAACTGTTTATGACAAATCACAAAAGAAAAATACATAATAAAAACTTCATTTGCGTGAACATTTTTACCAAGGACAAAATCAAATACAGTTCAAATCCAAATTTACTTTCTATGTACAAAACAACATGTCCGATTTCTAAATTCAAGCGACCAGTGGAAAGATAAATGATCCTTCCCGGGAATAAAACCATTAAATTGGATTCATATATCCCCGTTGGCCATAAAAATTCTTAATGTAATTCCAAAACATAAGTGGTTTTCCTACCTCTCTGTGTGGTTTGTCCCCTAGACCCACGTGGGATTTGATTCTCTTATGAAAATCATCAATATGATTTCTTCCTTGAATTGGATGGTCGTCAGGCCAGTCTTTGGACGAGAAATGCAGTGTAATGAGAATTTGAACAATGACAAAGACTACAGCGACAACTAGAATAAATTTGACTAAGTTAAACTGCAGCGCCATTTCATGTCTTCCGGAACAGACTCTTGATGGAGGAGAACAAGAGGACTGGGAACCGATACACTTGACGGATTTTGATTGGCTGTTGTTTTGACTCAAGAATACGTAGATCTGGACTAACGGACTCGGGAAACGAGGATCGTTGAACGTTTGGACTTCGGAAGTGTGGATCGTCTCCATTGTCTTTTTAAAAGACATTAGTGCGGGAATTGAAAGAGGATTGATGAGTAATTTAATTGCGCTGTTAAGTAGGTACCCTCGATACTTAAGGAAAATTACGTTTGACAGGCATTTTCGTTTTAAATGATACTTATTTATTTGTCTCACGATCGGGAAAAATGAATCATTTATTACTTTTTCCTTGACGAATAATATTTTTTATTCCATTTTTGTTTCATTTCATTTTAAGACAATTTCGTTGATAGGACGTTGATAGATGAATTGATGGATAAATAAACGAAAGAGCGAACAAATAAAAGAATGAATGGTTGGTTGGATGGATGGATGGATGGATGGATGGATGGATGGATGGATGGATGGATGGATGGATGGATGGATGGATG